AATAATTTTAGGGAAAAAAAAGAAAGCATAGCAAAAAAAAAAAGTAACATGTCTCAGCTTCATTCTAACATATGAAGCTCCATGGTATGTATAAATTTTTTCATACAAATAATATTTATATTATATTAAATATTAAAATTTATTAAAAATATATTATCGTTATTATTTATCCCCTGTGAATAACGAATTAAATGCCATATAACTTAAGACATGTAGTGCAAGAAATTAGTGAACAAGCCATATTTGCCACTTTTTTTTGGTGTGTTTGTTGTTGTATGGCATAATGATTCTTCCAAATTTAATTATTTTGTTATAGTCAAATTAATTATAGTCAATAATAGGAATTATTAAACAGAATTATTACAAAATAACTGCTTAACTACATTTTACTGCTAAAGTTACCACTATTTTGAGTGTTTCCGCATGACACAACAGCGGTCAGGTGGCACAAGTCGGAGCAGATTCCTAGTTGTATTATGAGTTCTAGGAGGATGCGAGTGCTTTTCACAAGTCAGATTTATTATGGTAATAACTAATTCTAACTCCAATCACACAATCACATTTGCTTTCTTGATCAGGAGCTAACATAGATGCCAGGGACAATGGGAGGAAGTTCACTGCGCGAGAGTGGGCCATCTTTACAAGCCGCTATGACACTGTGTTCGCCATGACGCGGCTGATGCAGCAGCCGTGTGCAGATCAGTTCTGCGACACCTATTGGTCTGAGTGGCCCCTTCTGCCTGCGCTGGTGGCCAAAGCTCAGGCGCCCAAAGGCTGCATTCAGAAAATTTCAGAGACACTACGTGACTTCTTTGACATCAGTAACGTCACCGAGGCGTCAGAAGACGGGGTTCTGGATCACATGGTGCGCATGACAACATCGCTGGGGAGCCCGTTCATCGCAACAGCGTGTCGAACGGTGTGTCCCGGCAGCCCGCCCTGTGTGGGAAAACGCCGGTACTCTGTTCAGGAGATACTAAAAAAACAACGCATCGAGCAGCTGAAAAGTCTGGGACCCGAGCGCCTCGAGAACTACAAATGTCTCTTCCAGAACTCCCGCGTCCTGCTGGTGCCCAAATCGAAAGATCGTCGTGCGAGTCTGCAACCCCAGGCCCAATCAGACGGCTCCTCCTCTTCCTCCCCGGGCATCCGCAGGGCCAGTCTGCTCCCCTTACACCTGCTGAGGAGGAGCAGCGTTAGGCCAGGTATGGTGGTGCCCAAGCTGAGGATTACCAAGGCTGCTACATCAACCTACGTGCCGGAGAAAGTGCGGCGGAAAAGCAGCTGTATAGACGACCAGTTCCTCCAGATCCCAAAGTGGAGATACAAAGAACTGAAGGAGGAGCGAAAGAAAGCAGAGGAGGCGGAAAGGAAAAGACTGGAGGCCATAACGAAGAGACAACTCACTACAGGCAAAAGGAAATAAATATGTGCAGACACACTGCTCACCGTTTTATACTTGAAATGCAATTTTGATGTTGAATTCAAATATATATATTTTTAAAGACAATTCATTTTTATAAAGCTTCTCAACTCCTTTTTACCCTCTTTAAAATATGGTAAAGTGAAGGATTTAAAGTGAACAGCTCCTTTAATCCCTTTTCATGTGTTTTGAGCATCAGGAAAATAGCTAATATGGGTAAACTACTAAAACCAGATGCTACTTTATGTTTACATTCTTAAAATCGGGTTCTTTGATTTTTAGAGTTGTCCAAATGCTAGTGTTGTCTGAGATTTAACAGTAGCATTGTGAATGTATTTAACAGACATACTTTGTCAATACCTAATTTTTAAACTATTTTTCTAAACATTGTAGATGTTGATGGTATTTCGGCAGCAGATCTGTCTGTATTTGCACACATTTCAGAGACAAATGCTACAGACAATCACCAGCGAGTAATGAAAGACGGTAAAATAGGTAGTGATATCATGGATCAGCATCTTATTTGATTTTTTCTGTACATTTAATAATTATTTATACTACTAAAGCACTCTAAGTTCATTACTTTAATGACTATGTTCTGAACCTTGAAAAAACAAACATGTATTGTCTTTTACCAAATGGTATTTGCAACATACACATCTGCCTGTGATGGAGAGGTGCATTTACAAAAAGCTAAACATTTCTTTGCATGTCAAAGTAAATAGTTCTACATGAAAGCCAACACAAATGTATACAGGTTTAAAAATATATGTCATACACACTACTGTTCAAAGTTTAGGGTGAATGAGACGCGTTTTAAAGAAATTAATACTTTTATGTAGCAAGGACACATTAAATTGATCAAAAGTGACTGAAGAATTTTCTAATGTTACAAAAGATTTCTATTTACAATAAATGCTGTTCTTTTGAACTTTTATTCATCAAAAAAAATTTGGGAAAAAACAACAAGGTTACAACATTGATAATCTGGAGTAATGATGCTGAAATTCCAGCTTTGCAATCACATGAATAAATTACATATATTTTAAAACACAAAACAGTTATTCTAAATTGTAATTTCACAGTATTATATATATATATATATATATTAAAAACAGTTATTCTAATTTATATATACAGTTATTCTAATTTATATTTCACAGTATTACTGTATTTCTTTTGATGAAATAAATGCAGCCTTGTTGAGCAGAAGAGAATTCTTTTAAAACATTTATAAAAATCTTACCGACTCAATTTTGTAACAGTGTTGTAAATTGGTGAATTACTTGTGTAAAAAAACATATAAATTATCTAGCTAAAGATTAGCCATGAATTATTAAACCATTTCCCCAAAACAATAGCTTTGTGGCAAGCTGTGCCAGTGGCTCCCCTAATAGTGAAACTTAACTTTGCCTTCAGATATAGGAAATACTGTTACTAATAATATAAACGCTGAAAATTATTATTAAATATTCTTAATATTTAACCTTATCCTGGATATCTTGGTATATGAAAATGCAAATAATGTGCAGCAAAGTAAGACTTTACAAAGGTACTGTACATTAGTAAATATTTTCCTCCTTCATTTGCTAATTTAATATGTAAATTATTTCCCTATGATTCGATTTAACCTTGACATGACAGTTTACCCCTAACATGGGCCCTATTATAAACACATAGGAGGCATCCTGAAATATTAAACATATTTTTTTTTCATTCCTTCTCGCAGGAGGCATCTTAAGTAAAACGTGGTACAACTTACTCCGCTCTCCCTTATGATTTCTTTCAGAGCTGGAAACAGTTAATCCAAATTCAAACATATCACAACAAATCTCAGATATGAATGCTTCTGTATGCAGAAAAATGCAATGTTAATTTTAAAGAATGTGTAGTGTTATCTGTTTGAAATATCTTCTCACTGACCGTCACATCATCTCAACAGCACCACTGTGCCTCGGTGTCCAACAAAACACACTCCACAGCTGATTTCACAAAGATGCAAAGACCAGTGCAGACCTAATGTCAGGTCACCCTGTTATCTTAAAATAACACTGTGTTTACACTACTTTAGGTTGTAAACCAAAAGTAATGACCAGCAATGCTTAGAAGAAAAATCTCATTGTATCTTTTGAATAAAAACTACTTTATAAATCCAAAGCGTGACTCCATTTATTGAACTTTGAGCAGGAGTAAAGGTGAAGCACACACCTTATTAAGCTATTGAGGTCACCGGCACGAGCTGACAGACACCGAGGGACTTATCTTGCAAGGTCAGCACTTGCCTCAGGACAACACTATGAAAAACAATGAAGTGCCCTCTGCTGGAGAACCAAAGCACTGACGTGGGATCTGTGGCAGCGCTGATAGCCTATCAAAGACAAATACACTGAGAAGGCCTGAATGTCAGATAGACCCCAGGGTTTGGATCACTCTGAACTGGCTTCAAAACCAGTGCTCCATTTCCAGATACCATGCTGAAGAAAAGTACAACCTTGACCTGAAACATGACATTTCGTAAGGGTTTAGCTGTCACTCATGCCTTTGAGGTTCACCTTGTCCGAGTGGGAACAAGCAGGTTTGGCCAGCTGGTCTGCTAACGGCACGTATGCATAAGTTTTGCTGCTTTGGGCCCAGAACATGCTGTGGGAACAACCTGAAGTTTGTGGCAGCTGCTGGCTCTTATCGACACTGAGTGGAACACAAAGTGAACGAACGGAGCGAGATAGGAGGAGAGCTGGAGAACATGAGATAATGAAACAGAGGAAGAGAACGGGGCAAATCCTGAGTGGCATTAGGCTTGGTGGCTCAGCGCCACATGAGCTGGGGCTGAGGCGAACAGGAAGTTGACGGGCTTTGCCACTCTCTACTAGTTCATAGATCATGAAAAGTAGGCCATGGGATTACACATTAAATTTTCCTGCTGAGCTGAGTGCATATTCTTACTAACATCATTAATATTTAATAGGACAAAACAGACATGGCAATTGTTTTTTAAATTTCAGTGCATGCAATTCGAGTACTGAATTTACTCTCCACAAATTCTACAATTCTTCAAAACACACACACACGTGTGCGTGTATGTATGTGTGTGTATATATATATATATATATATACACATACATACACACACAAATATAGCAATCATATGGTAATTCTAGCATGATTTTTTTAAGAAAACATTGAAATTCGTCTTTTTAATCTATATAAATGTCTGCAATTAATTCAATATAATAAAAATGTATATGTCAAATTTAAAATAATAGAAAAAATATATATTTAATGTGTCTGTATATGTATATACAAATACACACACACACACTGACGGCTATAGTATTTACCCCTCTATATTTTTAACATTCATTTGCAATCTTTCAATAATTGATTATTTTGTCTGGTAAAAATGTATTCTCCAAAAATGTCTGAAATTAATTCAACCCAAGGCACATGACTCCCTATTAAAGTTTTGTAAATCATTTCAGCCTTACATGTTACTACTTGTTTGTGAAAGCACTGACGTTTCCATCAGGCAAGGCAATTCTATCTTATGAATGTGTTTTCAAGAGCAAAAAGGCATGTATGGTTTTATATTAACTCTTTATTCAGATAGCCACACCTAGTACCTTATGCCTAATATACAACATTCATAGTACCTTATGCCTAATATACAACATTCCCCGACTTCAAAAAAAAAAAAAAAAAAAGGATTTATACAATTTACATCTCTCTGGAACTATTTATGTAAGACAAAATTAAAACAAAATAAAACACAGCTCCAAGCATCCCTCATGACGTGGACCCACATAATTAACATGTTTCTGATTAGTGATTTGCAATGGAGCTTTCAATTTTAGTGTTGCAATGATCTACAGGTAAGAAACAGGAAAAGGAACGTGTGTCATGATACTGTTGGAAACAGGACACTTGCAGGCACAGACGGAAGGGGGAGGGGGGCGTACGGAATGCTTGACGGCAAGAGAGCCCTGGCAACCTGAGCAGGTGTTTGGGGTGGTGTGGTCCTGGCCCTGTGCGGGGGGCCGGGGTGGTCTAGAGTTGTGTGAGGCTCACTTCCGGGGCTGGTGGATGTGCTGGTTGATGTGGTGGGCCAGGGGCAGCTTCTGTACCGCAGGCACAGGTTTCTGATGGGCCACCTGGGCAGCAGTAGGAGTGAAGTCTTTATCCCCCTGAGAAGGACAACCAATAGAAACACACCTAATTATAATGGTGACATGGCAAATGCTTTGTGTGCAGTAAATCACACCAATAATTGGACAAAAGTCAGCCATGGTTCTCTAATCTGATTGGCTGAAGGGTGTTCGAAGAGTGCTCTGTTGTCGACCAGGGCAGAGTTTTTCAAAAGCATTGTGAGCTAAGTTGATCATAGAGACCATTGGTGTCAATGGTTCTACAATCTACTTAGGCTTACAATGCTTTTGGGAAAAGCTGCCCAGTACTGATGACTGCTGTCTGTGAGCCAGGCTTTATTATACTGTAATTAACCAAAACTGAAACCATTAGGCCACGTGTCCACCAAAGCGTTTTTTCCAGAAGCTCGCAGTTTTTTCCAGTTGTTTTCAATGGGAGCGCCATGTTTTTTAAAACGCCAGAAGAGTGACAAGCGCTGAGCAGCGCTCATCACTGTCACTTTGTAGTCAGCCGTCCAATCACAGTGGAGGACCAACCCCGACCAACAGTCACATCCTCCTTGTACTACGATTGCTTGTCTCGGAGTATTCATGTCTGTACCAGATGGGATTCCTTAACTACTATGAATATTGATATGAAAAAAACAAACAAACAAACAAAAAACTGCTAGCAATACTTAATTCGCAAAAGCGTCTCAACTGAAAAAAAAAAAAAAAAGTTGCGCTGCAGAAGCGCTCATAGTTGATTTTTTTTTCAGCTGGCTAAAATGTTTTGGTGGACACACGGCTTTTTGTGTTAACTGAAATAAAGGTGAAATAAAATATAAATATTATAAACATTTTTTTAACGAAAATTGGAAATGTTGTTTTGGCAACTAACTGAAATAAGCTGAAGCACTAAAATTACTAAATGATAAATACAAACTTAAACAGAACTAAAACTGAAACAAAAATACATTTCTTATAGTAATAAAAAAATAACATGACATCAGGACAAAATTACTAAAACTTGAAGTAAAATTTAAATGAAAACAAAATGTAAAAATCTAATTCAAAATACGATTAAAACATGTATTATCATATAAATAATAAATGCTGTGTTCGCAGCGTTCCAGACCTGAGAATGTGAGCAGTCCAGTGTGGAAGCATTGTTTTTTGAAAGTTTTTTTTTTTTTTGATAGTTTTTTTTTGTTTGAATAAGAATAAGATGGAATAAGAAAACACTTACTGGCCATATTGTGTCTGACTCAATAATAGCCAGGGTTTAAAAACTGATCAAGGAAGTTAACGAAAATGAACAAAATTAAATTGAATATAATTGTGTAATTTTAACAACTGAAAATAATTTTGTTCATGTTTGTAGAAAAAACATGACTTACGATTCTAAGGAATATCACACTCACAACTATGCTGTTGCTCAGAATGATATCCAGTACTCGAATGTGATATTGCTTAATTATGACAATTCATATCAGCAACAACAAAGACATCAAGTATATCATTTGGTTGCCATCTTTTTAAAACCTAAACTACTTTTTAAGAGATGCTGAGACCTCTTTGCCTTAGTTACACGTCTATTAACATGAAAAGAAAAGCGGCACACAGAAGCATCTGACGTGCAGCCGCTGGATGCCCAGTGAGGATAAAAAGCAGCAGCCGCAGACATTCTTCAGCATCACTTTAATCTGTATGAGAGTCTTTCAGAGCAAATATGTGAAGCTTTTGAAGTAGATTACGGGGTGGACAGTCCAAGACTGAACACAAGCGTGGCATTTTCTGTCTGTTTACCAGCTTGCCAGAGGACAAAAAGAGCCTCAGATGTGAGTATTTAGAGAGGAAATATTGCAGAAATTGTGTCTCTTGAGCACTAGAGCACTATTTAGATCACTTCAAAGTAAAAGGAGCCCACTGCCTCAGTAAAAGTGCTCCATGTGCATCTAGGGTCACACATTGTGACATGCGTAATCAATCACAATGCTCTCTTATACACCTCCTCATAAGCACAGATGGATGCATTATGTCACAGCCTCCATCAAAACACAATAAATCCTGAGACGCGGCCAATCCCGTGGCGACGGACCGGATTAAGGTCAGCTCGGGCTGGAAATGAGCAGAGTGGACTCTATGAGACCAGGGGCCGGTTGCATAAACCGCTTAGACTAGACTTAAAAAGTTAGTCATCTAATTTTTTCTCTTTAAGACTGGTCATAATTTCTTAAAGTCAGTTATAAAAGGGAGAATGGTCTCATTTGAATCCAAAAGGTAAGTCTGATAACTCTTGGCTAACAACTAGTTGGTCAAACTAGTTCTTAAGACACAGTCTTAACACAGTGGCTATGTTTACGCAACTGGCCCCAGCTCTTCAACAAACCCCATACAGAGTCTCCAGAGCATTGGACTATTGATATCATCTCAATAAGTGATGCAAGACTAAAACGCCTTTTATCAGAGCAAACTGTCTATGTCTGAGCCTCGGGCTTGGGTGATTTTAAACATTTTAAAATGAATTTGGTTCTGCTTTTGATTATTTAAAGAACCATTCACACCAGAGGCAAATAGTTGTTTGCAGGTAAATGTTTGAATATGAATAAGGTGTTCCTATAGTGCTATTCAAACGGAGTATAAACATTTACATGCTGACAATTCAATATTTTTTATATGTACAGCAGTCCAAAATATATAAATCAGTGATAGGCAAACTTGGCCCTTCCAGGCCACTTTCCTGCAGAGATTTGATCCAACCCTGATAAAACTCACCTGCCTATAGCTTTCTAGTAGTCTTGAAGACAATGATTAGCTGGTTCAGGTGTGTTTGATTAGAGTTGGAGCTAAACTCTGAAGGAAAGTGACCTGGAAGGACCAAGTTTGCCCACCCCTGGTCTAAATGTAAAACTGACTGACCAATAAGATGAGAATGACATATTTAAATATGTCCATAATAGAATAAAATGATAGAAATGTATAATATTACACTTTTTATTTGTGTACATGAATGTATACATACAGAAAAAAATGGGTCAGAATTGTACCTTTTGGGGTACAACAGCTTGTCACTGGAGCAGTACCCTTAAAATGACATATTTGTACCTTTTTTACCCTTTTTCTGTGTATATTAGGTACCATGTGTTCAATTATTCTGACATTAAAGCTATAGTTCACCCAAAAATGAAAGTTCTTTCATTAATTACTCACCCTCATGTTGTTCCAAACCCGTAAGACCTTTGTTCATCTTCGGAACACAAATTAAGATATTTTTGATGAAATTCGAGAGCTTTCTGACCCTGCAAAGACAGCAACGCAACTGACACGTACAAGGCCTAGAGAGGTAGCAAGGACATTGTTAAAATAGTCTATGTGACATCAGTGGTTCAACCTTAATTTTATGAAGCTACGAGAATACTTTTTGTGCGCAAAGAAAACAAAAACAACACCTTTATTCAACAATTTCTTGTCACATGGACTATTTTAACGATGTCCTTACTACCTTTCTGGGCCTTGAATGTGGTAGTTACTTTGCTGTCTATCGGATTGAATCAAAAATATCTTAATTTGTGTTCCGAAGAGGAACAAAGTTCTTATGGGTTTGGAACGATGTGAGGGCGAGTAATTAATTACAATTTTCATTTTTGGGTGAACTATCCCTTTAAAACATAAAACTGGCAATTTATTTGGACTTAAAATGAATCCTAACAGCTTGCTTGATCTGCATCCTGTCACTGTGTTTCTCTCAAAGAGCCGTTTGACTGTCTTCTCCTTTTTTTCTACTCTGTCGGCAGACCAACTGATGCATTTATACACCAGTGTCACCTAGAGTACAGGGTAGAATTTAGCCTCATGAACATTCAGGTGTCAGTCTTTGGTATGAATAGATCTTTTGCAAACAGCAGCGGTTGCTCTAAGTTGCTCTGGACGAAGTCAATAGAAAGTTAACTGGTAGACACCAACAAAACTCAAAATGTTGGACCAGAGACAACCTGGCCTAGTTTGATTTAGATGTTATGTAATCAATGGACATGTGTACCTACCTTTGTGACAACTCCTGAGACCACAACAGGTAGCTTTGGTGGGCTAGAGATTGAGGAAAATAAGAAAGCCACAGTTACAAACAGAAAGCAATACATTTAAAACAAAAAGCAAAAATGCTTTAAATATATGTGCTAGTTAATGAAGTATAAGCAAAACAGATGACAAAGTGTTTATGAAGCAAAACATTCTCATGTCAAATAGCAACTGATTGTAAATAAGCTTGTATATTAATCAGTCTCTGATTTTTTAGCATCATTAATTTTTCCACAGGGAATATGGAAGGAGAACACAAACAACTCTGTATTCTGGAAATGAATAACACCACTCATATTTTAGAGAGGGGAAAAAATACTTTCACGGATTTCAACCAGATTTGGCTCAATAGTGCTGCCTTGTGTCTAGGCCAGAGACACCTTTAAACAGAATTCATTCAGACGGCGAGGGCCAAAGTTTGTGTTTGCTGGTAAGATGAGTGAAATGAGATGGAGGTTTCCAAACATTTAAACTAACTAAAAACAAACGGTTTATAAGAGATCCAATACATGTGAATGTGAATTTAGACAGCAGCTAGTGAGATGTACATCTGCCTCAACAGTAAATTTTTCTCTTCTTCCATCTAAATCCTCCCCAACTACATTATTAACTAACTAATTTTACTCTTTACGTTACAGATTTTTAAAATGTGCTTTGAATGTATAGCAAATCCCACTGTATCTCAGATTGACATTCTTGCATTACAGATTTTGAATGTACCTGAATATAAAATTTTACTTAAATGGCTGTATTTAATTAATAATTATTAAGTATATACTATATTTTAATGTTAATATTTGAAAAGTAAACATTAAAAACGATACATATTAAAGAAAAATTACACAATTAATAATTACTGAATTATTAATGATTGAATGTGAATAGTTATGAATATTTAATGCATTATTATTAATATTGGAATATTAATTATTATACTAATAATAGATATATTAAGATATTGTATTGTAGTAGCTATACAGTATCACAAAGCCCAAAAGACATAGCAAGGCTTTGTGACAAATCATCAGGGCTACTTATCAGCATCCGCAAATACATATTTTATTATTTTATCAACGGCGAGCTGACAGCAGATTGTCGGCAGTATGAAATCAAACTGTGAGGCCTGTGCTGATTAGCTGAAGGTCAACAGGCAGCATCATTATGTGCGCGGGAGCTCGAGCAAAATCGAGCTCAATCAGAGACCTGACGCGGCTGTCAGCAGATGCCCTCTACTCCATATAACCGCTGGAAGGAAGCGTCTTCTCCATTCGGACACGTATCTGATCGGATGCATGGATGGAATGCTAATGCAGCAAATTAGCTACAGCCCTGATGGAAACAACATCACACAGATTTCACGTTCTGCATGAGTGATCGGCATTCACCGGGCCACCAATTACAGTGGGATCAACGTGATAATTATTCTTCTAATTGTAACCTAACATGGAATACAATATCACCGATGAGTAAAACATGACAATAAACAAGATCCGGCCTAAATAGCTATTTGTACATTGGTTAACATTAACCAATAGGCCACATGGCACTGATGACATCAACTGAAAAGTAATTGCATTTTGATATTATAAACTAAAGTAAAAAATGTAAATAAATACATAAAATAAAATAAAGTGAAATAATATAATATTATAGTATTATAAAATATATATTTTTTGGAAATGATGTACACTGAATCCACTGTTGAATCAAATATACAATAAACAATACTATAACTTACGGATTCTAAATTACATGACAGAAATTGTAGTTAGTAACGTAATCCATTACATATTTCAGGTAATATAATCAGACTGCTGACAAAACTCCAGGTGCTCCAGGCAGTGGGTAAGGTACAAAATGGCCTATAAACATTCCCGAGGGACAGGGAATTTACCACCACCATCTGAGCACAGAGCAGAAACATGGCCCCAGGCTTGAGCAAGCCGTCAGCCTCAGAAATGACTCTCATTCATTTTCCAAAGCCAACCGTTTCCCTTAAAGCACTAAGTCAGAAGAGAAGGTCAAGAGTGATAATTGACCTTGACAAGAAAAATGGTCTATTGGAAATAGAATTATAATGTCAAAGAGAAAGTTTGAAGAGTGGCCGATTTCCAGTAGCCCCTGTCAAATACTACAGCGCCTGTTACACGCACACTGCAGGAAACAGAGCTATAAAAGGAAACAATTCAATTGTTATCACCTCGTGAGACCATCCTGATGTCTCAACATACTTGAGACTGAACATAAATGAGGGCATTGTGAGAAAGGGCTTCATCTCTAATGCTGTGAAATCCAGTATATGTCAGAAGTTTGTGGCTTTCATCTCGCTGAGAAGCCAAGGAAACTCCAAAGATAGCTCAAGACAGTGAAAAAGAGAGAGAGACTTTGCAAAAGGATAATCTCACTTTGAGGCATAACAGTGCTGCTCAACCTGTCACATAGCTTCCTATCTTTTAAAAGAGACAGCTGTATAATCTCAGATTAAGCGGACACTCCTTTTTCTAAGGGCAAAAATCTTATAAAGCCCTGTTTCAAGAAAATGTGAGATTTTGGGATCAAAAGCCAAGTTATTGAAATCATACTGTGAACGAATTCAAAAAAGCAAGCAGGATTATATTTCTAAACGGTTATAGCTTGTTTAGAATTTGCTGAATGGAAAAGGATGAGAACATAAAAACTGATCAAATACATGTTATCTATTTCTCCTTTGGAGGTCATTCAAAAAGGTATGTTTTGGGATATAATTATTAACCCCAATACTTTGAACTTCCTTTGTGTACAGATTAAGAGTTATGATACATAAAATGTTAATCAGGTACACCGTTCACCCAATTCCTTTCTCAGCAATGAGATTCCTCACCTGAGGGTGGCAGCAGTGTGCTGGGGTTTAAACCAGGCAAGAGACGGTTTAAATCCTAAAGAGCGTCTAATTTCACAAAGCTAAAATCACACAAACTGAAATAGATTACAAGGTTAATATGAAGGTCAATAACTGAAATATTTAATCTTAAACAAAAACATTCACAAAAAGCCAAGACAGAATGTTCTTGTGCAGAAGATAGTCTACAATTTATACAGAAGGCAGCAGTGTCACATGATCCGTCACAAATCATTCTAATATGCCGTTTTGTTGATCAGTTATCAATTATTATTGATGCTTAGTTAGTAATAATAGTTCTTATTATTAAGGTTGAGGCAATATTTGTTGCTTAATATTTTTGTGGAAAACGTGATCCATTTGTTTCCAGAATTCTTCGATAAATGGAAAGTTTCCTTGGTGAATAAAAGTGTTAATTTAGATTTTTAAATTTTACTTATCTGTGTTTTCCACAAAAATATTTGTTAATATCAACACTGATAATAATAAGAAATATTTCCCGAGCAGCAAATCATCATATTGGAATGATTTCTGAAGGATCATGCGACACTGAAGACTGTAGTAATGGCTTCTGAAAATAAATGGGGACATTCCATAGGCGTAATGGTTTTTATACTGTACAAACTGTATATTCTATCGCCCTACACCAACCATACACCTAAAACCTACACCTTACAGAAAACTTTCTGCATTTTTACAATTAAAAAAAAAACTTTATGATGAATAAAAAGTTAAAAAGAACAGCATTTATTCAAAATATATATATATATATACATATATATTTATTCAAAATAGAAATAAATAAATATATATATATATATATAAAAAGTCTTTACCATCACTTTTTATTGATTTAACACATCTTTGCTGCAATAAATAAATAAATAAATAAATTACCAACCCCAAACATTTGAATGGTGTACATTATTACAAAAGATTTCTTTTTTAATTAAATCCTGTTCTTTTTTTTTACTTTTTATTCAAAGAATACTGAAAAAAGTACCACAGATTCCAAAAAAATATTAAGCTGCAAAAACGGTTTCCAATATTGATAATAAATCAGCTTATTAGATTGATTTCTGAGGGATCATGTGACACTGAAGACTGGGTAAGGATGCTGAAAACTCAGCTTTGCATCACAGGAATAAATTATGTTTTAAATTATATTAAAATAGTAAACCATTATTTTAAATTGTAATAATATTTCATATTACTGTTTTTATCTGTATTTTTGATCAAATAAATACAACTTCGATGAGCATAAGAGACTTCTTTAAAAAAAAATTGAAAATCTTTCTGATCTCAAACTTTTGATCGGTATATATATGACGAGGGAAGGGAAGACCCCCTGTAGAGAGTGATAGAGATTGTGTGTAGGAAGGAAGAGAGTGAGCTGGTACACTACAAGCAAACTCAGCTTCAGGAGCAAAAGCGATTGCTGCAATTAACAAGTCGGCACAGATGCTCACATCTTGCTGTCGTCATGGCAACCACATGGCATAGCTTTTATTTACTGATGAGCTAAATCGGGAGGAAACAGCAAAAACCACTCGTCTGGAGCTAAGGGAATGAACCGTGCAAACGAAGCAAAATTGGACTTAATGCTTAGCCTCTGCTGCAAACAAGACTGAGTCTCAACATCAGCAGAATATAAACACAGGGGTGGACGGAGGAAAGCATCTGTAAAACAGAGCTCAGAGTAGTACACTCTTACTGGCTTCTGAAACCACAATCAAATGAACCAAAATACTGAATAAACGAACATGAAATGACATGAGCAGGAGTTTGTTAATGAGAGGTGTTACAATTCTGCTGAGCTTTCTGTGTGGCCTGATGATAGGTTAGAAAAATCACACACAGGTGGCACGACACGAACACAATAGTGCTCTGATGAATGGCTTGCTTGCTATAATTACTATTATCCGATTAAAAAGTCCTTCCCCTCTGAAATTAACTAAGGTATGGGGTAAAACGACATCGGTATCTGTTCCTTATCATACAACAATTTGCAGTAGTGAGACTAACCCTTGAGGTTTTTCCAAAAACTGATGATGAAAAAATGGGAAACGCGTGTTGCCGAACTAAAATACTCACAATTATGACTGATTTTAGGATCTAGTTGGGCAAAAAT